TAGGGCCATTTTTGGAAGCATTCTAAAATTTTATAGAATCGGATGCTAAAATCCAATCCCATAAAATTTGGATTACTAGCATAGCATGCTAATCATTCTGACAAAATCCACCACCCAAAACCCCATAGTTCGTTTGCAGCTAGATTTCAGAATCGAGTTGAATTATAGAATTTATCATAGTATCTGCAAGTAGAATGCAAATAGTCCCCTTTAGTATCATGTTGGCTAAAGGAGATGCACCCTATTGGCTTTACTGTGTGCATCGCCTGCCATAACAGGCATGAACCAATCAAGGACCAAAAATGTAAGAAGAGCAATGTCATACAAAAGCTGATAAAGAATTTCCTTTAATAGAATGTTCACTTTCAACCCTTTGGAGAAAGTTTATTTGTGGTGAAATGGGGATAGTACAGGCAAATTCATAGTTAGATCCTTTTTACAGCATTCTGGAAGGGGTTGATGGTACTCCAATTCCCTGGAGTAGGATCTGGAAGGTTAAAATCTCATCAAAGGTGACATTCTTCATTTGGACAGCCATTAAGTGGAAAATTCTCGCAATTGATAATCTCAGAGTTAGAGGTTTGGTTATCACAAATTGTTGTTTTCTGTGTGGCTAGGCAGTGGAGTCAGTTCAGCATTTGTTACTTCATTGTAGCTACACACAGAGGGTGTGGTCTCACTTTCTGAAGCTATTTGGATTTTGGAGTTTCATGGGTATGTCACCTGACTTGTGATAGGTGGAAAGGAGCATTGCAAGATGGGTATCTATATCCAACAGATTTGCTGGTTTTAACTTTCTTCATTTTGTCGCTAATTGTAATTGGGATGAAATTACCTGGGACAGCTCCTTCAGTTTGTAATTGCTTATCTTCTACGAGTCATTGATAGCAAAGGACATGTAGCAGAGGATCCAATAAGCAATGCAGGATTCACCTACATGATACACATTACCTCTGAGCTACAGAGCCTATACAAATCACATGGGCAAGCACCTGAGACCGTTATGAGACTGTTGAAGATTTTGTTAGGCACAACCATTCTCCCATCATGACAATCACTTGCAATCATATCTTTCTGTTATTTGCTTTCCATCGTAATGTTCCAAGGCAACCCTCTCTCTATATATATTTTGAATCACCTAGTCACCTACGTAATAGATCATCAATCATTTCTATCCTTTATTTTTACTTTGTGCCTTCTCTATGAGTAGGTTTTGAATCCCTCTTTGAGCAGTGCTTCAATATTACACCTTGAGGGAACCCTCCTCTCTTCTCAGAGAAGAGGATTGTATCAAACGGTATCAAATCTGTTCAGTCCAAGGGAAGGGATGAGCAAGTTAGAGGATAGTTTGAGCAAGGTGGAGAAATTGTAGGAGAAGACTCTTTCCCATCTCAACAAGATTCTGGAGAGACTCAACCTGTTTTTCCCACCGGAGGATCACTTCCGGTAAATCTCCCATCCTAAGGGAGCATTGAATGGGGCAGAAGATTTAAAAATAGCACCGAGTCTGGTAGCCTCTACTGGTGAAGCAGTAGCTAGGGTTCAGAAGGGCAGTGTGAAGACCTTCACCCCTCAAGCCAAGACCCACTAGTCTTCCAACCCCAGTCTACTAATCATCGCATCTACATCTGTTCTGATATCTCAACCCCAGTTGTCGCTCCCCTCCCTAAAGACAGAAAGAAACCTATTCGAACAGACCTCATCATAACTTAATCCATTCACCATGCCCCTCTTCCTTATCTCCACCTATTTGCAATCCCCTTTCATCATCTGTAACAGTGTTTTGCACTCTCAACTCTCAAGCAGCCCTTAAGTCTAGGTCCCAATCCTCCTCTTGGATCTTGGAATCGAGTAGCCATTGCCTCCACATCAGACCACCCATCCCCTGCTTTTAGCATCAAATGTCAGGTTGCCTTTGGGCATAACCCAAAACCCTCAAAACCCATGTATAGAACCCCCTCCCCTGTCACCATTGCTTACCTTGTTACAAAAAAGATCTCTGCTACTTTGAGTGGTTGAGATAGCCGTGGTATGCCACTTGCTCAAGCAGCTCTTCGCCATCCTCTCTACTACAGGCATCAGAAGGAGTTACAGCACATCCCCAATAGAGCATGCAAGTCTCCTGCTATCTACCCTATCAGATGCCTTGTTGAAGACCTAAAGCCAGAAGTTCGAGTTGGCATCAAGAAGGAGGAAGCCTTTCTCTTCCCAGTCAAGAGAAGAGGTATGTATCATTGGCTGAGATCCACCAGCTTCCTAACCGTTTCATCAATACAATCGATAACAACCAGAAGGTCTTCCTTAGAGAACACATTGGCCATGATTCAAAGACGTTATAAGGGCAGGGTGTTGTTTTGGGTAATTTCTTGCCCTCAAAATTACAGATTATTGAAGCATATCTAAAAACATTACAGATTATTGAAGCAAACCAAGCACCTAAAGCGAGGGAGAGGCTAAGCAAACAATCTTGTTGTTGAGGTTCCATTAATTGTCATCTGCAACTGTTCATCTCCTCGCCCAGTCAAAAAAACCATTCCTGAACTGCTTTGTCCATCTCCCCTAAGATCTCTATCACTGGAAAATCCTAACATTTGGCAAGAAAGACTTTATTGCTGGGTCATGGCTTTCTTTGTTGCTTGTGATGCTATTATTTATTCATACTGATCAAAAAAAATGCTATCATTTGTTCATTTTGAAAAGCCTCAAAACCCAAATCTCAGAGTCCCATGTTTTTTATGGCTTCCACATCACTATTGAAAACATCCACTCTGAGATGTACAGCCTCTTGTTGGAATCATACATCAAGAGCGTGGCCAAGAACCACCTGTTTTGCAAGTTGAGACTAGCAGCTTCTGCCCAATATTCTGGTTGAAGAAATATGGAGTGATGCCACGCTTAACTTTCTCACATGACTCAAGAGACAAGGAACTACATTGCAGGTTTGCATGTATATTGTACAAGCTGTCAAGGCAAAATGGGAGTGAGAAGCAAATCAATGGAATCATGTGCAATGCTTTTCCATGTGCTTTGCTGAGAATGAACTGTGATCTGATGAACCAATAATATCAAGTTCATGGCCAATCATTTGCTTGACACCTTGGGATATGGAAAATTTTACAAAGTTCAGAACGTGTTTGATTGGGTGGAGCTGATCATAAGTGGTGTGGAAACAAGTGTTTGTCACGGATTTGATGGCCCTTGCTTGAGAGAAGGCAGTGGTCACGATGAGAACAGCTCCATTGGTGCAAGAAGGAACAAATTTTTAGATTATGGCCTGAAACTTGACTCCCAAATGCTTTCTCTGTTTCAATTCAAACAGAGAGATGAGTTGAGTTTTGAAGACATTGACCTAAGCACAAATGTTGGCTTGATTTGCAAGGATTATTGGCCGTTGGAAGACAAGTGGTATTCTGGTTGTATTGTTGACTGCAATTCAAAGACCAAGCAGAATTTGGTCAAACATCCTGATGGCATCAATGGCTTTGGTTATGGTGAGATGGTTGTATTAGCTGCCAGTTGGAAAGATTGCCAGGAGCTTGAACAGGGAAATACTATATGGGCAAGACATACAGCCCATTAAATGTGTTCAACCATTGTTGGGAATGGATCACATCTTGATGGATATAAAGATTTGAAGCCATTTCCTGGAGAGAGAGATCTGTTCCTGTGCAATGTTCTGGAGCCCATGATTTTGCAAGGATCAGTATACCCCAGATCATTTCATTACTTGGAGGCCTTCTTCCTTCTTACCTTCTCAAGTGCAAACAAACACCAGAAGGCATCAAAACATGCCACTCACATAAACTGACAGCAGGATACTACAGGGTGTTCGGCATTTTAAGAAGGTGGTGTCATCATGCATAGGCTTGACTTGCAACTCAAGGTTGGAAATTCCCTCTTCCATGTTTCTTGGGTAAGTCAAAAATTTGGGACCAACCACTTAACCCAACCTGCCTCACCACCCTTTTGCCTAATGGACTTCTTCTTCCCTACCCAAAAGCCATCTTGGATTGTAGAAATGAGAAGTGCAACAGCCCAACATATTACCAAGCTTTTATTCAATAGGAAGGGATGACAGCTATGGAAGCCATCTAGGAGCATTGGGAGGACCTCCACAATGAATTTCCCCATGTCAGCCTTGAGAACAAGGCTGTGGCTAACGGGGCATGAATGTTAAGAGCTGTTGATAGCAAAGAACATGTGGCAGAGGATCCAATAAGCAACATGGGATTCACCTGCATGATACATATGGCCTCTAAGCTACAGAGCCTATTCAAATCACATGGGCAAGCACCTGAGACTGTTGAAGATTTGTTAGGAGCAACCATTCTCCCATCATGGCAATCATTTGCAATCATATCTTTCTGTTGTAATGGTCCGAAGGGACCCTCTATATATATTTCGAATCACCTAGTCACCTACCTAATAGATCATTTATTATTTCTATCCTTTACTTTTACTTTGTGCCTTCTCTGTGAGTAGGTTTTGAACCCCTCTTTGAGCGGTGCTTCAGCATTACAGCTCAAGGGAACCCTCCTCTCTTCTCAGAGGAGAAGAGGATTGTATCAATATCCTTGTTTTTGAATCTTTGATGGTGATCTTAGTGTTTCCCTAGAGGCTAGAACTGTGATGAGGAAACCTCTCCCTCGCACTTCTGCTTCTCCGTTAATGCATATTATATTGATCTTTACCTTTCTAAATTAAAAAAAAAAAAAAAAAACTCAGCTTGCACCCAACAGGGAGCAAGGCTTGCCACTGCAGAATCCAATGTGCAGTCATTCCAACCAAAGAATCAAATCAAATGCATATTCAGATTGAATTGCATCCTAATTAACTCTGTTGCAAAATATTCTTGGCATAAATTTACAATACATTCTGATGAAAGTGCTACCCTTTTCTCTTCTATATTTAACTGAATCTCATAACAACAATGTGAGAGATAAGGAGTGCACCGATTCCATTAACAATTTGTTGGGACCTTACACAGAATCTGGTCGTACCTTTGCGGGCTCGTTGGCAGTTCTCCGAAGCCTGTCGGAAAGACGGATATAACCAAACGACCAAAAGACCGAAATGAATGCAGCAGCGATACCTCCAGCAGTAGCATAGAATGTAGCTGGTGATGAGATCTTCCCAGTAATAACCACCGAGAATGATAGAATCACAGCAGCCACCACAGTGCAAACCAGCTGACCCCAAAACCCTAAACCACCCAACCTCTTGAAATACCTCGAAGTGTTTTCTAGTCTCTTGACCACCTAAACGTTAAAACCACAATCTAAGTATTCGAAAATTAAAGAAGAGATACACATGATAAAGCTAAAGCTAATGCATTTCAAAATAACAAACAGGTGAAATCGCATTATCCAGTTAGGGATTCGAATGATTGACAAGGGAAAAAGGTTTACGAGCATTCGGGTGATTTGGCTTTAGATCCTCAATTGAAAAGATGAAAAAGAGGAGAAGGGAAAGAGTAACCTGAGCGAGTTTGGCCTTTTCGGATTCGTCGGTTGGGGAAGGGAAGGAGGGGGACAAAGGACCGGAAGCGGAGGCGGAGGCAGTGGTGTCTCCCTTGGCGAAAAAAATATAAAAGGAAGGAGAATTGGTTCGCGTCTCAAGGGAACGGAGAGGAGATAAGGGAAGGTCGGAGGTGCGACGGAAGGGGAGCGTCCGGTGACGGAGACGAGGGGAGTGAGAAGGATGTAAGGATCCGGCCAAAAGGGCTGCCGCCGCTCCTCCGTGAGAACGAGCTGCTACGGGTAGCAGTAACGTCTGCATTGTGAAGGCGGGTCCGGCGGGAATATGTGCGTGAGGAAGCAGAGGAGAGATGCAGGTTAAGCTGGGGGTTGATTCCTCCTCCCGAGTCTCGACTTCGTTCTAGTTTCTACCAACTACAAGTGTAAAAAAGGATGTGGATTATTGTAATTGTGGACAGTCATGAAGCCGCTGACTCACTCAATGAAAATCTTCGTGGATCATGGTTATTGGCCATTTATTACCACGTTGTCACGGTAAGACATAAGTTTAGTCTTGTCCACGCTCGGCGGGCTTATGTTAAGTGACATCATCGTTATTTTTTCTTATAAAATTTTTGGGAGAAGTAATGTTATTTTCAGGCAAACTTCCAAAAGCTTAATGTACTCTTTGAAGAGGGGTGATCGACCTCCTTGGGTGCCTGACCTTGGCACTCTTAAACCAATTTCCCTTACGGAGCAACTCTGATTAATGACTAGCATGGCTACCCGGGTTCCTCATGGGCGCACACTTGCCTATGGGGATAATATATGGACCGGCACTATGCCACCGTCATGGTAGGGAGGCTCTACACTTGGGTATGGCCTAAGCACGTCCCTACACCTCGCCAGCCCCGTGTTTGAGCTGATTGAACTATCCTGTTGCCCATAGCGCACAGGTGTGTTCCGGCCCAGAGGTTGCCTATCATCATCGGCACATCAGGTGCCTACATCATCGGCATGCAAGAGTCCCTCTCATCGGCGCCTAGTCACCTCTCATCATGGTCGTCCCCCTTTAGCACGTAAGAAGCGCCTCCCATGGACCGGCCAAAGCCAGCAGAGAGCCCCGGGCATGCGAACTGAGGTCATGATCCAGTGCTATTGAACTTGGTGGAGCCATCACATTGAGCAACTCCTAGCCCTAAGCACACATCAGGCTTGTCCTAGCCTACCTTGGCCTGAATGCCATGTGGGTTCCTTCTGTTGTAGATCTACCCTCGTGACAGTTGGTATCAGAGCAAAAGCATATAGAGCCAGTTGAAACAGTAATCTCGACAAGCAACACATCGTGGGGTGCGGTCCCTCGACACTTCCACTAGGGTACAAGCAAGCGAGCATACACATCAGGCATGGCAAGAGGCCATTCATCGTGTCCCCATTCCAATGACCCCGAAGCAACGCTCATGCGGGGGCAGACGCATGGGCCATCTCATGGAAGGCATATTGTGGCAATTTGAGTGGGGGAGTGCCATGCTTCCTCACGGACATTAGTTGCTGTTCATTTTGGTGAGGTGTGGGCAGTGCGTCTACATCTTGGTTTCATGACGGATGAGCCATTGTTTCGTAGCTTTGTCTGAGGCACAACTAAGGCGAGGATAGCAGTCCGAAATTGGTTGGTGTCGATGATTGGTCAAGAAATATCATTGAAGTGGCAGTTTTGCATCAAATAGGTCATCAGTTGAAGCCACAATATTGGAATGTTAAGAAAGTGAGTACACTGGTCGTTGGAGCATGGCGGCCCTACACCAGCAACGCATCAGGAGGACATGCTCAGCTCACATAGGTGGAACATTCGTAGCAACCATCACACATCACAAAGCGAGTGCATGTTCGGCAACATCATGGGTAAAAGTTGCCACACTCGCACTCACATTGCAGTCAGATCTCCTTGAGGCAGAACACATTGGGGCCCCCTTGGAGCAAAGAGGTAGCCTGAACCGATGAGGTGAAGTGTAGTTTTGAGGGCCAACAGAGCATAAGCCATGATTAGGTTTGAGTAATCCACGGCGAGGTGAAGTCTGCATGCCAGCATGGTGAAAAGATACTTAGCACACACGCCAACAGCAGGAGTAGACCTATCACATCGTATTCGGTAGCACCACCGAAAAGCTACCATGAAAACGGTCGGGCCTTGAGGTAAAGAGATACATGGGGAAGACCTCCGCGAAGCATACACATCCAACTTCGAGGGCCCTTCTCACACGCATCTCAATGGCATAGCCATTGCATGGTTTGAGTAACCTCAACACAGGGGGTGAGGTCCAGGTAGACCGGCATGGTGAAATGGTTCTGTCCCCATCAATGGACACCAACATAGGCGAGACCTGGGCTGACCAGACGCGCCCACAACTGGATCACACGTGGATGAGGCGAGACACAGACGCCCATTCACAGAAGGAGCCATTGTCGAGGATGGCAATGGTTTGAGTGGGGGAGCCTGTCACAGTCTGACACAGGCTTAGCCTTGCCTACGCTTGGCAGACTTACGTTAAGGGACACCATCATCATTTTTGCTTATAAGATTTTTGGGAGAAGTGATGTTATCTTCAAGCAAACCTCCAAAAGCTTAACGTACTCTTTGAGGGGTGGTTGACTTCCTTGGGTGTCTGACCTTGGCACTCTTAGACCAACTTCCCCTACGGGGCGGCTCAGATTAATGGCTAGCATGGCTACCAGGGTTCCTCATGGACGCACATTTGCTTTATGGGGACAGTGCATGGACCAGCACTGCACCACCGTCATGGTAGGGAGGCTCTATACGTGGGTCTGGCCTAAGCATGTCCCTACACCTCAACAGCCCTGTCTCTGAGTTGATTGAGCTATCCCGTTGCCCATAGTGCACGGGTGTGTTCCGGCCCAACTGTTGCCTATCATCATCGGCATACAGGAGTCCCTCTCATCGGCGCTTAGTCGCTTCTCATCATGGTTGTCTCCCTTTAGCACGTAAGAGGTGCCTCCCATGGACCGGCCAGAGCCAGCAGAGAGCCCCGGCCATGCGAACTGAGGTCATGATCCAGTGCTATTGAACTTGGTGGAGCCATCACATCAGGCAACTCCTAGCCCTAAACACACATTAGGCTTGTCCTGGCCTACCTTGGCCTGGATGCTGCACAAGTTCCTTCCACTGCAGATCTACCCCATGACAACGTGGCATGAGAGAAGGCTCTAGGGCATAATGGAGTGGGTCCTAGCTGTGATCTGCTGATTTATTGAGTGTTAATTAACAAAGCCGCAATTGAGTATTCATTTCGTGCCTTCGTGGGCATAATAGAGTTGCGTCCTTACCGGAAAACGGGAGTTCTTTACTCTTTTGGGCCACTCGACTATCGTGGGCTGGTAGGAGGGCTCTAGAAAAGCGTTTGGCGGGGATTTTCCTCTCTAAACAAACTTCTTAAGAAGCTTTTTTTTTTTGATAAATTTTTAAGAAGCATTTTTTTCTTATAAGCGCTTAATGAGTGCTTGCTTTGCCTGGTAGGAGGGCTCTGGTACTAGATATTGGTCTAATCTGACTCGGTCCAATATGATCTATTATAGATGGATCAGGTCCGATCTAATCCCATGAATACTTTGGACTAGACCAATATATTGTTGACCGTCCAATCTATTCAAATTGGTTTTAATTTAGAGTGGTCTAACTCAAACCTAGTCATTGGTTCAATCCGACTTGATTTAATATAAATCCAGATGATCTAGGTCCAGTCCAATAAATACTTTCGACCTTAACTTGGATTGATCCATTTCAATATGCCTTATTGGTTCATCCAATTTGTTCAAATTGATTTTGATTGGGACCGATTATCAAATGTAAATCAGAACTTGAATTTTAGTTTTTGGAATAAAAAGTAACATTCAAAATGGCTAGTGGCCAATTATACACTTTCTTTTCACTGGATCTAAGAACTAAGCCGAAGCCGAAAAAAGGCCTAATTCTAGTTTATTGATGTTACATATACCCAAAAAAAAATCGAATTTGTTTCCAATGGATAACATTCAATGTAAATCTGAAAATTAGGTTGTGTTTGATTTGATAGCAAATCTATACATCTCTCTTCGACGTAAATCCTTACATCATTTTCTATAATTTATTAAAATTTTATAATTTTCTATAGTTTCAGGTAATTCCCAGTATTTTTCCATAAAAATCTATAACTTCTAGTAGTTGCATATCTAGATTTTTTTTTGTAAATTCCAAATAATTCTCAATAACTACTGATAATTTCTTGTAATTATTTCAACAATCTATGAGAATTTCATGTTAACAGTAAATCACTGATAATTTATGAGAATTTTCAGTAATTAATGATAATTTCATACTATTTTTCTATAATTTATGAGACTTACTGTTTTATTGAAAATTCTATAAGTTTCTATAATGTCTGGTAATTCCTGGTAAAATTCTATAATATCTCTATAATTTCTGGTAATTTCTATAATTTATGAAAATTACTGTTTTACTTAAAAATCTTTAATTTTCTAAAATTTATGGTAATTCCTGGTAATGTTCAATAGTTTTCAATAGTTTCTAGTACTTTTTCTACAATTTCTCTAATTTTCTATATTTTCTATTAATTGTGGGTAATTTTCAATAATTATTGACAATTTCTGGCCAATTTCTATAATTGATGAGAATTTCTTGTAAACAATAAATTATTAATAATATATGGCAATTTTCAATAATTATGATAATTTATAATATTTTTCTTTCAAAATTAAGAGTAATTAATAGTGAACTATTGTGAACAGTAATTATGAAAATTCTATAAATTTTGAGAATTATCATTAAATTCTACAATTCTATAATATATGTAAATTGTATAATTTATGAGAATTACTGTTTTAGTTATATTTCTATAAATTTCTATAATTTCTGGTAGTTTTATATAATTTTTGCTATTTTTTATAATTTATTGAAATTAACAGTAAGTTCACATTAATATAATAATAATAATAATAATAATAATAATAATAATAAGAAGAAGAACAATAACAATAATAATAATAATAACAATAACAATAATAACAATAATAACAATAATAATAATAATAATAATAATAATAATAATAATAATAACAATAACAATAACAATAACAATAATAACAATAACAATAACAATAACAATAATAATAATAATAATAATAATAATAATAATAATAATAATAATAATAATAATAATAATAATAATAATAATAATAATATTAGTAATAATAATAATAATAAAAACAGCCCACTTTTCAGTTATAATTTACA